CCGCTCCTTGGTTGCTGGGGGTGGGTGAGACGGGGAGCTGTCGCGGACCAGGTGCGATTGTCTCTGTTGCTGCTTTTGCCTGAGGAGTGTTCCTTCTTACATCGCACCCTGACTGCGGCAGTGCCAAGGGGTAGTCCCCGCGGACACCTCCACCGGCAGTGGAGATGCCTCTCTTTGCCACCAATCCCTTCGACCAGGATGTTGGTGAGTGTTAGTACCGCTAGCTGTCGGTTCCCACAGGGCTGCACGCCCATTTCGTCCGTCCCCAGCGTGGCTTCTTGACCCCAGGGTCACGGCCAAGCTTTCCGCCTTTCCTGAGATGCTTTAAGAGCTGAGGCAGGGTTGAGAGCTTGGCGCAGCCTCTTTGAAAGAAATGGGACTCAGAGAACCTCTGAAATGGGCCTTGGAGCCAGGATCGGGGGTTTGGAAAGAGCTGCCGAAGAGCTTGGTGTCAGGGGCTTCGGAGGAGCAGCCGGTGTGGTATCTGGTGCTGGGACTTTGCTTCTGGAAGCACAGCGAAGGGCTGAGGCGTATCTCGGGCAGAGTGGAATTACAAGCCCCGTGGCAGAACTGTTTCTATGGCCAAATGTTAAACATGCGAAAGAAACTAGCAGAATGTTCGCAGAAGCTTCTTTGGGGTATTAAAAAAAAAAATCTTTTTTAGTGGTCCCTGGAAGAAGCCTCTGAGTAAGGGTAGACCGTCAGAAATTTTGGGAGAGACAAAGATTAAGTATGTGGCAGTAACGGAAACTGAGTTGAGCCTTCGGGATGCCTTTCTCAGATTGGGTCTCGATACGTTGTGTAGTGTTCAAGAGTACTTTTGAGTCTGGGAAGGCGTCTGAAATGCAAAATTTTTATTGCTTCCTGAATCTTTGGTATTATATATGAACACTATCAAGCTCTATTTCAAGCCAATCCAACAAGCTACGTTTTGTTTGCTTATTACATTTTCTGGCCTTATGATAATAATTAGGGTAGGGTTGAACATCCGGGTAGAGAATGTTTGGAATGCTTTGAATGTACTTAGGAACTACCTTGGTACACAAGTACGGAATGGAAGCAAGGCACAGCTCCCATATTCAAGTCCTGTAAGGTAGAATTTAATGATTACTACAGTAAAGAGATATAAAGATAACCTTATGGAATCACTGTATACTTACTTTGTTTTGATTATGAAAGGTGAGTTTTGAATTTTGCTCTTTGGACTCTTCCTTGCTGCATGTCACTGAAGTTTAGATATTTGGCTTAAGACTACAAAACGGTTCCATTCTGCCCTGCCAGTTTCTAGCTCACAGTAAAAATCAGAGGTGAAAGAGACAAGGTAGATTCTTTGAGTTCCATCGTCCTCCATCTTTAAACAGGAGAAAACACGTGCTTCTGCTCTGTAATTAAATGAAGTAGTATGTGTAGATCCTATACGATGCCTTTATATAACTACTAGATGCTAGCTTTTTAAATTTTTCCAGTTTAAATAAATGTCCTGAATCTTAGTAGTGGATGGAACTTTAGAGATCACTGATAATTCTAAATGAGTAATTGGAAAATTGCATTTAATAAGCATTTGACTCATTATTTATAGAACACAGTTCTCATTCACATAAGAGATACAGTGATGAGCAAGATCTCTGTCAAGCAATTTTAAAACGCATTACATCAACTGTAGGACAAGTGCTTAAAATAAAATAGTAATTCCCTTCTTCTGTTTCTAGCACCTTTATCTGACTTGAATGAACCTATATGATGAACTGTCAACAAAGCAGAATCACCTTTATAGCTTATTGACTTGTTAATTCGTTTTTGTGGTACAAGGTATTGAACCCAAAACACGCTTTGATTTTTTTTTTCAACAGACATATGCATTGGATTCAGATAAACTTCTTAATGCTAAACCTGTTTCTTGCACTTACACTACCCAGTTTGAACACAGGCTCCTTCTTGCCAATGTGTTTTTGTTTGTTTTTGGTACCGGGGATTGAACGTGGGTCCTTGTGCTTGAAAGGCAGGCCGCTGAACCGCTGAGCTAAATCCCCGCCCCTTGCCTATGTGTTTTTGATTTTGTTATTTTATCTGCATATCTTCATGTTTTAATTCTAATTTAGAGCTAACTTGTTTTACCTGAATTATTTATTGATTACTATAGCCCAGGGTTTCTCACTAGGAAGGGTACAATGACCTTTTGGACTAGATAAATATCTTTTGGGGAATCTGTCCTATACAGTGCAGGGTATATGACCTCATCATTGGCCTTTACTCACTGTATACCGGTTGGCACCCCACTGCCAGTCATGATTTTAAAAATCTCCAGGCATCAGGAAATATCCCTTCGGGTATCATCAAAATAGCTCCCGATTGAGAAGACTGTTCTAGTCCACTGTGACTTATACCTTTTTCCAAATTTCTGCGAATTATTTTAGTATTTACCAAATTATTTAGCATTAGTTATACTCTCTGTTTTGCCCCTTAATTATTTTGGTGGCTGCTACCTAGTAGGTATTTTACATTTGTTGAATTTAGAATTTGTCAACTGAACCTGCTGGACAGTAAGCTTCTTCAATTCAGGGACATTGTTTTACTCAGAAAAGCTTACTTTTTTTTTGGATACTGGGGATTGAACTCAGGACCTTGAGCTTTCGAGGTAAGTGGTGGAACCACTGAGCTAAATCCCCAGCCCAGAAGAGCTTACTTTTTAAAGTTAGTCAAATTTTGTGTCTGGATTAGTTCTCTTCTCAGGATCCATGTATTGAAATATCACAAGAAGTTTATCTAAGAGGAGCCTTTAGTCATCCCCAGTTAGTAATCCTTGGGCAGAGTCCAGTAGATTCTCATGATCAGTTTTTTTTTTTTTTTACTACGTAGTTTACAGGATACAGTATGTAGGCTACAAAATACATTTAACTGTTCCTTCTCACCTTGTCCTCCAATGTGTCAGTTATGTTAAATAATCCCAGCCAATTCCTTTAATGCAGTTATCAGTCACTTTATGATTACAGCTATACTGTCTCAAAATTGTTTTCAGCCTTATTTATACCCTGAAACTGAAGCAGAAATTGGCTGATTTATGTAATATAACTTCCTGTATTGAGGCAAAGTACTGGTGATAGCCTTTTTCTTGAAGAAATGCCAAAATCTATCACTGAAATGTGAGCTCTGTGAGGACATATTTTTTATTTGTTTTCTACTGTTTCCCTAGCATGTAGACGAGTGTCTGGTGCTTATAAACACTTAAGAAACTTAATGAATAAATGTATTTCATTCTGGACATTATTTTTCTGCTTAACTCCTTTTTAGCTTTTATTGCATCTCCTTTTTGCAGTATCCACATGTTGAATGCCACGAAGGTCAGTTCTGGATCCTTTTCTCCTTTGACAATTTTTCTTTTGGTATCCTGGGAGGAAACTTACCTGGTGTTAAGAATTCAGACCCCAGAGCTTGAATTAAAGACACTGCTTGAATTCAAACCTCAGGTTTGTTATCAGACTTAGGACCAGCTGCTTAAATATTCCCTAACTCTGTTTTCTTCTTTTTTTTTTTTTTTTTTGTACCAGGGATCAAACTCAGGACCTTGTGCTTATGAGGCAAGCAGTGGTACCACTGAGCTTAAATCCCTGGCCCTGTTTTCTTCTCTTTATTATGGAATATGGGGATAATAAGTAGTTGTTAGAGTTTAGAGTTAAGTTGGTGTTTGTGAAGCACATAGAAAAATTTCTGTGTTTTTATTTATAGAGATTACAAAAAACCCTCATCTAATCCCTGCACTTTAAGTACCTTGAGTACACAGGTGACTCCCAAATTTATGTACTTAATGTCAGCCTGAGTTCAGACTTAGGTATCTATATACCAAGCATCTCCACTTGGGTTCTGAAAGGAGTCTAAAAACAAACACATTAAATTCTCAGTTCTTAGTTTCTTTCCCCAGACTGCCGTTCTTTCATCCTTGACTATTTCAGTAGATAGTGGCATTAATATTTCCTGCCACTCATTTCTGATATTCAGGATTCATCATTGATTCTGTTTTCTTCACATTCCATATCCATTTTATCAGTAAGTTCTTTGGGGGTCTATTTAGAAAATATATCTGGAAACTCATCACTTCTGTCTTCCTCAGCAGTATTATCATATTTAGTCATATTGATCTCTTTCAGCGACTGTCAAGAGCTTTGTGGGAGTCACTCTACTGCCTACAATCATTTATAAAAGCTAAGGCTACTTTTTAAAAAAGTTAGATAATGTCACTTACCTGCTCAGAACCTCCACTACGTAGCTTTCCATATTACTGTAGGGAAATGCAGAACTCTGACCCCTTTTTGGGTCCCTGATGTGACTAGGATTTCTTGACTGTTTTTGTCATGCCATGTTTCTTGGACACTACATGCTCACTTCTGCCTTTGAAGCTATCTTACACCATTTTCTTTGTCTAGGTTACTGCTGCCCCAGGTATTTTAAGGTCTTGCCATTTTCTATAGAAGCTTTCCCTAGTTACCTCCTGTTTAAAAAAAAAAAAAATCCATCTTTATCCATCACTGCTTCTTTTTACCATTTTAATTTTCTTTATAGCACTTAACTACCTGCCATCAAATGATTCATCAGTTGACAGTCTCTTGTTGTAGAATATAAACTCTAAAAGGACACGTTTTCATTTGTGTCCTCAATATCTTATGAGCAATACCTGGTGCGTAGTAACAACTCAGTTTATCCGAAAATGAATTGGTGATATTTTTCTAGATTGTCGGTCTTGTATTTCTATTCAAAATTTTGTTATGACATAAAGAATCAATTTATAATTGAACTTATCTTTCTCTGTCTAGTTCTTCTTTCATTATTTGATAATTTTATACTGTTCTGGTCTTCAGGGGTATCTTTGAATCATTCCCATATCTGCTAAACCTTTGTTTTTGTCTTAAATTTGTCTTTGTTTTTATAATAGTGCCTTTTTATTCTTCATCATACTACTTTGAATACTCTACATTCTAAAGACTTGGAGATGTTTTTTAATTCATTTATTTAGTCCAATCATAAAGTATCATAAATCATAGCCAGACTGATTTTTCTTCTGACCAATTGTACCTGAAGCATTTACTATGAATAAATGGGTAAAATTTGTGGTAGAAAAGGTACAGAACTCCTTTGAGTTCACTTTTCACTTTTGCAAATAAAAGTATCTAACTCACAGGATTGCTATGAGGATTGTCTGTAAATCACGACAT